ACATGGGAACACCGCCCATCTCAAATACGCCCGCCATTTCTGGTGTATCTCCTCTATTTGGTCGGCCAGCCCTTTTTAACTTTACTGCACTGTTTCCTCATCTCGGGACTGCTCTGGAACCGAGTTATGACTTTTTCAGTGACATCGCTAACTTTCGACGCACGCCCCGCCCACTGTGGGCGGGGCTTACCATGGGTCATGGGTGCTATTTAGGTTTTGTCCCATGCTCTACCCATCCCCACCATGACCCGACCCCTCCAAGTTCTTCTTCAGGTGCTATGAATTTCGTGACAGACAGACAGACGCACACACACACACACACGGACATAGCCGATTATATTAGTAGGATATTACATTCGTCTTCAAAATTTCATCCACTGATTCCCCACCATTTACAGCACAGTGCTATTCCGAAGCAAGACCTAATTTATTGTTCTTCAGTGTGCTTTTATTGTGAAGTGCTTGTTGAAATCGTTGTATGCTTTCTCGTCAGTTTGTGAAAAGCACCGTGCAGTTTCGTTTTATCGCTATTAACGCCAACTCACTTTGTGTTTGCTTACTCACCCATTTTGCTTTTGCCATGCATGCTTTCTCAAGGCACTCAGGGCTACAGAAGTTCTACGAAGCAGATAAAGTTCGGTACTAACCCATAAGACTATGAATAAGAATCTCTAGTAGATTCACTAACCAGTAACTTGTACTTACTAACTTGTGGTTTTTTTTTCGAGAAGACCTCAAGATAAAGGTTGCTTGGAACGTCCACAGTTCACATGCACACGCCATGCGTCTTCTCGCTGGCGATAAATGGAGAGGTAAGTTCGCTTGCTTTGTTTTTATTAAATTGCTTTCAGAACTTACCGGTTGAACGGTTCCACAATTGAAAGTGGTGCCTTGCAGTCTGTAGTGGAGGTTGATCATGATTGGCAGATGATTTGTTTGTTGAAGCACTGATCATGATTGGCAGATGAATCTGTCTTTTAAAGCACATTTCACAAATCCTGTGAAGTTTGGTTTAACAATAATTCTCTGGTTGAGTACTTTATTTAACACCTGATTCTGAGTACTGGATTGTGTGCAAACGAGTGAGAAGGAAGAGATACTAAGAGCGTGAGAGAGGGACCAGACATATGGACGGCAGAAGAGCACCCAACCGAGGTCAACAACGAATAGAACGAAATAGTGTAGACTGGGAACCAGTTGCACAAGTCCCTATATTTCAGATATTTTTGTTCGGTTTGCTTTTGCCTGTGCTGTAGTTAAATGCTTTGAAAAGTGTAGTTGTTTGAATATATTGCTTATAGTTGAGTTCTTATAGTCGCTTTGAGGTTAATTTACGCCTCCCTCGTCCTCAAATTGTGGCTGAAGCAGAATCCAGTGATTTTGATTACTAGATTGTGTGCGAACGAGTGAGAGGCGAAGAGGTACTGAGAGCGTGAGAGAGGGGCCAGACATACGAAGGGTAGAACAGCGTGCAACCGAGGTCATTAACGAATGAATAGGTGCAGAATGGAAACCAGTTGCACAAGTCCCTATATTTCGGATATTTTTTATTGGTTTTGCTTTCAATTTGCTTCCCTTTCTTAGCCAAGAGCAGAAGGTTTCTATTTGGCTTCCAACACTTTCGTTCGTTTCTCGCAGTGGTAGTTAGGCTGCGTTTATACTTTGCGGCAGCGTAGCGTAGCGCTTCCAGCGTACGCCAGCGGCAGTGCCGAAGAGAGGATGCATATCGATCTAGCTTCACCAGCGTCACCAGCGTTTCTCCAGCGTTTCACCAGCGCTAGCGTTTGCAGCGGCAGGGGAGTAGAGACTATGGGAGAGCTGGAGGGTACAAAACACATCGATTGCGCGTCTCTCACTCGCCCTTAGTCTCTACAATGCACATCGCTTCTGCGTCTCCGACGGCCACATAGTCTCTACAATGCACATCGCTTCTGCGTCTCCGACGCACATAGCTCTTACAATACACGTCGATTCCGCGTCTCTGCCGGCCACATGGTCTCTACAATACACGTCGATTCCGCGTCTCTCACGGCCACATAGTCTCTACTCCCTGCCGCTGCAAGCGCTAGCAAAACGCTGGTGCCGCTGGAGAAACGCTCGAGAAACGCTGGTGAAGCTAGATCGATAGCTATGCTTCCCGTGCCCTCGCTACGCCAGCGTGCGCTAGCGTGCCGCTGGCTACGCTAGCGTGCCGCTGGTGACGCTGGTGAAGCTAGATCGATATGCATCCTCTCTTCGGCACTGCCGCTGGCGTACGCTGGAAGCGCTACGCTACGCTGCGCTACGCTACGCTGCCGCAAAGTATAAACGCAGCCTTACATGCTTTGAGGCCGATTTACCTTTCCCTTTTTCCTTATATCGTGTGTGAAACCAACTCCTTAACCTTGTGGTGTTTGTGCTTATCCAGTACTTGTTTTGTTCGTGCGGTGGGGTGTTATATAATTCAACTTACGCCTTTATGCAAAATGAGAGGATTTCTGAGCTTCATTGTCTTGTGATTTCTTTGTGAATGATAGAATGAAACTCGTCAAAGTCGTTTATCGCATAGACGACGTTTCGGGCTTTAAGCCCTTCTTCAGGTCTACAAACATCACATTTAAAGCCTACACCAACATCATCTATCCTTATATACATTTTTCCCCTTTGGATTTCTTGCCTATGTATGTAAGGTTAGATGATGTTGGTGTAGGCTTTAAATGTGATGTTTGTAGACCTGAAGAAGGGCTTAAAGCCCGAAACGTCGTCTATGCGATAAACGACTTTGACGAGTTTCATTCTATCATTCACAAAGAAATTACGCCTTTATGTCGAATGGGAAGAGTCAACCAAGAGTCATTACTGGTTATTGGGTTATTATTTTTTATCTGTATTCCACTCACTGTTTTGTAATTTTGCCGCGATTTTCGTAAAAAAAATAGTGTCTAATTGGAGCATAATATCGCCGGTGTCAGGAAGTTTTGTAATAATCGTAATGCTTAATAACCCTTCGCAGCAAATTTTCTAAAACATTTTGATATCATAATGGTTGGGTGCCCGAATTCATTTGAGAAGGCCTTTCCCAGTAATCTCCTGTAGGTTGAGAGGAGACGATCACAGCGAAGTTATAAACGGGGTACACCATCGTTGTGTGAAACACATAGAGGAGGGGGTCGTGTTTAGTTGTTGGAAGAGGAAGGGGGTCGTATCTGGCTAGAGAGATTCGCCGCGTTGGGAAAAAAATTTCCCCGGTTGTTGATTTTTCGCGTGATTTTTCCTGTTCCAAGTGTATTGTATGTCCCCCTCCGCTCGACGGAGAAGTTCTTGGGTGAGAAACTGGAAAATGTGGGGAATTGGTAGGTAGGTGTTGGGAAAGGGTGGGGGTCGTACCTACCACTTCACACATCACAATGTTGTACCCTGGTTATAAATGGCTACCGTAGCGCGTAACTCCTACCTGCGGATCTCTTTGAGCAGTACAAGATATCGCTCTTTGCTTACCTGTCCTGCCAAAGCTATTCGATGCTGTTACTGATATCCTGCAATAGCTCGAAGTCGGATTACAGACCGGTAGAAAAGTATATTTCCTTTTTTTCAATGAGCGATACTATGAGTGGTTCTTTTTAGACATCTTTGAGGATCTCCATAATCCTGTTTGTGAAGCTGGAGCGCTTCTGCGTGGGTTGGCGAAGCGCAAGGATATTGTTCAGCCTGTTCTTGCTTTTGCTATCAATGTGAGAAGATATCTTTTTGAGAGATATGCTTTTTAAGGGAGTTTAACTTTGATGGGGTATATTTCAGGTACTGACACGATCGACTAACCCGCGTGAAGTTGAAGGAGCGCTTCGTATGATTGGAGAGCTTGAAGCGCAACTGACAAAAAGTCGAGTGCGTTATTTTCTTTGTACTTTTTTTCTATTTTCAACATCGACTATAGCAGAAGACTTTCCATCCTTTGAATGCAGTCGGCGATCAGGTATAGAAGCTGAAAATATGGCGTCGGGAGAATAATGTGGTCCGCGACGAACAATTTTGTACCGGTTTCGCGGCAAAAATTGTAAGGGAGAGGGCGCTATAGCGCAATATAGTTCAGTGACGCCTCCTTTTCTCCAGTGACTCCGCCTCCAGACTCCGCCTTCGGGGTCCGATTCTCAGTGAAACAAGACAGGTCAAAAAACGTGGGAACCGTCACTTGTACAGTAGTGTACGGTCTGATCCACAATCTTGATGGCGAATGATCACGGACTTTGCCTTCAATCCATTGGGGCCTTATAACAGATTTCAAATTATTGGAGCTTGAATTTCTGACGTCTTCCCCTTGTGTGGACGAGGCTCTTAAGTAGAAAATTTGATACAGTTGCGTTGCTCTGACCAGCATATTGTCCTCAGAGGGCTGAAAGATCGAATATGAGGAGTAACTTTTGATACTTCCAAGCATCCTCCCCCATAACATTTGCGGCGGAACATTAATTGGAAATCAAAGTGAGAAAAACGGACTCGTTCAGTAGCCGCCGCGCACACTCCATATCTCATTGATGGATGGGGCGTGGCCTAGTATTCAATCACACGTGGCGTGGTTGCGCTTCTGGGGAAATAATGCCTCGCCACAATTGTAATATGTCTTTGTCCAGCACATGACGGGATAGCAATTGTTCCAGTTGGAAATGTCACATGAAAAACGTGAATTACGCCACGACAGGTGAGGTACGCAGACCCGCCCTCCCCATCTCTATGATAATGAGTGTAGCAGAGCGAAATCCTTTCTTTTTTGGTGTTGTATGTGAGAGTTACTGTATTCTACTTGCATAGCAGGCATGTAAATGGCATCTGTCAGAGTAGACAGCTGGATGTCAACCATTTTAGCATGCTTATTTTCCTTTCAAAAATTCAGAAGTACAAAGGAGATGTGGAACGCATGCTGGATACCCTGTGTACTAATCGCCTGAATGACCCGAACAAGTTCGTCAAAGCTCGTGCTGCGTGGTGCTTCAGGCAATACAGTGACGCTAATTTTCGTACGACGGGTATTCTTCAAAAGGTATTATTCCTTGCATCCTTCTTCAAATTCCTTTTTCATTGTTCTCCTTGCGATTGGATTACATTTCACTTAAAAACGTTTCACAAAAAGTTGAAAAAAAAACAAAGAAAAGAAAAATAATGTTTAAAAGGTATTTCTTAAATCGCGGATCTTATTGCTCACGACTTATAGGCTATTGATGGCCTCATTCGTTGTCTCTGTGATCCAAATGAGGAGCTACCGGTGAAAGTGGAGGCGGCGTTGGCCATCCAGGGCATCCTGAAAGATCAAGAGAAGGGTTAGATCAAAATTCTTTTCAGTTTTCAGAGTTTTTCTTTACTGAGTTAAAAAATTTGGCATTTTCAGCTCACGCCCTTCTGGAGCCTTCTGTGAGAGTTATCATAGTTCAAGTACTAGAACTGGTTGCGAAGACCCAGGTTGAAGATGTGGTTCGAGTAGTAGATGAGTTTCTAGAGCACTTCATGGATGCGCGGTAATACCGATTGCTGCTGAAATAGCCGAGAGCTTGTGTTGAGTGACTGTTTTTCTGTGTGACAGTTAGATCATTGCAAACAATAGGGCGTGACTTGGGGCGCAGCCATGGCAGATTTCCCACCAATCGCAGCATGCCCAGGATGGCATCATTGGTGGCAAGCCCGCATTGGCTGCGCCCCCATCCATGCCCCTTCACACGCCCTATCGTTTGCAGGAAACATAATTGTATATGGATTCTTGATTATGAGACGAGTAAATTCCTATTTCAGTCCAACCTCTTCTTGGAAATCATCACTAGCCCTAATGCAAGCGATCAAACTCACTCACTGCTGTCCATTCTACCTACTATGAGCAACATCCTTGATGTAGCTGTTTTTGGATACTACTAAAAATTATGTAGTATTATCTCTTGTGGAATTTTAGGTGGTGGAAGATCATCGTGAGATTATGGTAGCTGTTGAACCAAGTGTCCTGAGATGTGAAAAATATATATTCACTGAGCAAAAAATTGGTACGTTTTTACTGTGGGTGGGTATGAGGAAAGTCGTTCTAGAACCTTAGGCTTTTGAGGCCATTATTTCCGATTTTGCTTCCACGTGGACCACTCCTTTCTTTGGGCAGCAGCGTTCATACCTGGCAAGACTGGGAAACAGGCGATTGCAGCTACAGAATTGGATGGGAGTTGGCCGCATTTCCTCTCCACTCCCCTCCCTCGCTCCCTCCCTCCCCGCTAGACAGTCACGAGATCAGGACAACAAGGAAGTTCCAGTTCGCTGGCGGACTGCTCGATCGGTTCCTATCTACTTAGTATCTCCGAGATGGAGAGGGCGTGGCTGCATACATCACTCAATGATGGGTTGGGGTGGGGTGCGTTTCTGGTGGGGTATTTCCATCTGAGACAAATGTTCTACTGTCTTGTCCTGAACAAAGACATGGTCGAAATTGTCCCAGAAGGAAAAGTTTTCACCAGAAGCGCGGCCTGCACCACATCCAGATGAGGTGAAGTGGCCACGCCCTCTCTATCGTCCAGAATATATAGGGTTTAATACTCTGAGCGTTAGTACTAAAAATATCTACTCGAATCGGGCCTTTTCGTCAAGCTCATCGATTCGCGGTAAAATTGGCTCAGAGCCAATAGAAATGATTGGTTGATTAGCGAGAACAGCGAGTCATTTATGGCAAGGTTTTTCCAGATCTTTTTTTTGTTCACTTTTTTAGCCAAGCAGGGTCTACAAGGCCATTCTAGCGTTTAGGGATGCCCTTATTATGGAATGATTTCAGATTTCTACTGTGATATTATCGTGCTTATGCAATCACTTCTGACATCGTATGTTAGCGAGCCTATGTGGGCTGTATTCAATGATCTGTACACAATGTACAAAAATAGTGACCATCGAAGTGTGCTGCCGTTTGCAGGTAAGCTTCGTTTTACTCGCTTTCATGAGAGAAATTCCATTTATAGTTTCCCGAAGGGGTCATCATAGTAGGATTACGGGAATGGAAAGGCAGCAAATAGAATGCGGTGTGTCCGAAGATCGGTATATTTCGAAGCATTTATTTGGATCCCTTTTATGGGGGTGTTTCACAGGTCGCATAAGTATAGCCCATATCCCATGAGATGGAACGAGGTTGTTCGAAACTTATTTGTGAGCATAGACGCGCTAAGCAGCTTCCAGTCAGTCAGAGATGCATTCCAAGTGTGTCAGAGAGAGCGCAGACGTTGACACAGAAAATTGGTAGACCTCTCACCCCTTTGCCTCAATGGCAGTTCTGGATGGCTACAGATACGGAGCGGCTGCAGCCTTCACAAAAAGTAGACGCGCCCTTCCTATTTCCGGGTTGTGGTGGGTAATGTACCGTGGGACAGCGTTAAGAAGATGGTGTCGATTCACTAGCGCGATTTATTCTGCCTCAGTTAGTCTACATCTTCTTACATTTGGTAAACTTTCCTACTGACTACACAAGTAATGCACGGACAGCGCCTGTAGCGCCTGCAGTTACTCCGTTGAACCTCGCCATCGATCTTGGAACGTCTGTACGATGCAGTTGCTCATTCCCATTACATAAAAATAATCTCACTTGTAGCCGGCCAATCCTTCCAGAACTAGGCTGTCCCACAGTTAGCATAGCAGTGCAAGCCTGCTATCCACTCGCTGGGTACTGATGGTAAGGGCGGACTATTGTAGCAAATGTCATTGGTGGAAGGGCTGTGTGGGGTGTGGTCAAATGTCCTGTAGCAGTCCTTCCACAAATGATTTTGGCAGGGAGCGCCCGCCTACAGCATTCGTGCCCACCCCCCTTTGAGACTGCGTTCATACTTTGCGGCAACATCCGCCGACGACCAATACGTCCACCACCCCTCAGCGCTGGGGAAGTATTGAAATCGATCTAGAGTCTGCTAACGTCTACCAGCATCCACCAGCGACCAGGAGCAGACTGCCATCAGAGAGTATAGTGCGAAAGGAGGGAAGCAGACAGCTGGTACCCTCCTATCCCCTGTCGTCTACTGGCTGTCTACTACGCTCCGTTCTCGCCCTATCTCCACTCCCGGACGCTGGTAGACGCTAATGGACGCTGCAGACGCTAGTGAACGCTGCCGCCAATTACGAACGCAGCCTAAGTAAAAGGTGATAGAGTGCCCGTCGTGGCTTGTACCCCAGTGTTATACAGCAGTGCTTCATCCCAGTTTTGACTACAGCCCTTCTTCAAAGGACCCCGTCACAGCTTTCACCTTTTTTCACATCCTTTATAGCTCATTTTAGTCGCCGATACAATTTTTATAGACAAGAAACGTGTTGTAATTGAGCTGAGATGTTTTATGAACTGATCTTTTCCAGATGTTTTCCATGTTCTTCACTTGTATGTTGTGACTGATACTGAAAGCTTCCTCGCTTTCCCTGAACGTTTGATGGCCTTCCTGGATATGTGTACGATTTCTTTGCAGGTCTGACTTCCTTACTGTAACGTTTCTTTTGGGTTTACTTGAAAGACGTAGCTCTGAGAGATTTTATAGATACAGTCACCGTTAGGTTGGTCCTCATTGACGTTTTTGCTCGGAAAGTTCTCCGTAGTAATCTTGCAAACCACTTGGTCCATGCATTTGTCTCCCTTTCAAGGCAGCTGGCACGATCGCTGGAGGCGGGCGAGTTGTCGCTAACGTCATTGGTGGATGGGCTGCGAAGGGACGTTTGGCTACAACCCACTCAGCCCTTCCACCAATAACACTGGCGAGAACGCCCGCCCTCATCGTGCTTGCTGCCTTTAAAGGCAGTGGATTTGTTGACTAAAGGGATGGGAAGCAGTTCAAGTGTCATTGATGGAAAGTCGTTGACCGTACCTTTTAGTATGCCATAGAAGTCAAAATCTGTGCAAAATCTTTCCACCAATGACGCTTGCGCTGCTGCCCGCCTCCCAGCTAAAACAGGGGGGGGGGCAAATGTAGTAACGTTCTGTTTTGCCTACTCGTTTGATCGTTTTCACAGTATCACAATTCTGTAGGATGAGGATGACGGTGATGAAAATCATTTGTTTGCCGCGAAACTTCTGGAAAGTATCCTTCTCCAATGCGGAGGACCTGCTGCTCAAATGGTTTCTCCGGTAATTTATTTCTTTTTTCAAAGTTTTTTTTAACAGACCTCTCCTTAAATCGCAAGATATTTAGGTCATACCAAATATCCTTATGTTGGTACTTGGACGCCTTAATCAACCGTTTGCAGATGGTCTCTCTGAGTTGAAACCTCTGCTTCTTCTCGTAGGTTTTCCTCCGTTTTATGGTGGTTGTAGTAGCGTACCCCTGCTATTTTTTGTTGGATAAAAAATAGGGTTACAGCACAATACTGCAACAGATCTACTGTTTTGTTAACCTAAACAGCTTTTAGGTAATTGTCGCTGCCTTATACACGTCTCATGAAGTCGCCTTGCATGCTTTAGCTCAACTAGCACCGAATCATCCAAATCCTCTTGATTATGTCTGTGATGAGCTGTTAGCTTGTACAAAGGACATTAAGGGTGTCCATAACAGGTAAGTTATTGTAACTAAATCCATATATAGTGGAAAAACGTGGAAAGATTACCTCTTCAGGAAAATGGCTCTCTTTGGGATTTGTGCCTTCTTTGGCCTGCCTAGGGAAGCAAGACCAGCTACCGTCAATACAAATCCTCAAAAGGTACCTGTTCAATTGTATTCACTTGTAATTACGAGCTTATAAATTGCGTGTATCTCGATGGGCAGGTCACATCTTTGCTGGAAGACAGAGGCGTACTTATTAGTGCTCTGCTATCTAGGCGGAGCCAGGAAATGAAGTGGTTGGTGCGTCCCACCTCTTACCAGGAGATATGAAGAAGGGCGTCCCAATGACGTTGTCCCTGGCTTCGCCTACAGGAAATCCCGAATAGAATCTCTAAGCATGTTCCTAGTTGATCACAACCAGGGCATCAACGACAGCCATCCTTCGTTCACCTAGAGCACCTCTGGGCTCATGATGGTCCGCAGTGGAGAATTTGTCAAGGAAATGGTCCGGAGCACTCCTACGCAAGCGTGCCGTCTAAACAGCGCTTTACCCAACTGCAGTGCATACTTCTCTTTAAGGCTCCACTTTTATTTGATGTTCAGACGCTTTCTCCGGATAAAGTAATTCGCAATTATAGGGGATGTTCTACCTTTCATAATCCAAAAATACGTGAGGGAAGAATGACCCGCTCGCGACGAGGCCACGGCCCCGCTCACCGGCCACCCCAACGCCTAACGTTCATTTCTAAAGGTATCCTGTTGGTGTGGTTCCGCTGATAGCTTTGTCCATTTCAAATGGTGAGAAAGTGGTGAAAAGGAGTAAGAGCTGGCACTAACAAGTGAGAACTCGTCCGACCACTCTTAGCGCGTACAAGCGCGGTTTCGCAAGAGTTTTTGTACGCATTTCGGCTGTTTTTTTTTCTCCTGCATTTTTTC